GTATATAACAAAACGAACGTTAAAAATGAGATTTAGAAAAGCGCGTTGGCGGGAGCGTAGGTAAGAGTGGGCGCCGCGTATGCCACAGGCGACGAGTAAGCAGCGGTGTAAGCATAAGCCCCGGGATAAGCGTAACTGGTGACAGCTTTGGCCGCTGGCAAGCTGACCAGCCTAGCAGGCTGAGCTCTCGCTGGAATTTGTACTGGACTAGCGAGCGCCCTTACAGGTGCACCCTGTTGTTCTTGTTGATGCTGTTGCCTCTGTTCTTGCTCCTGGCTATTTTCCTGCGTCCTCTGGTCTTGCCTCTGCTGAATCTGCTGTTGCAATTGCAGTCTGGACTGCTGCTGGAGCTGCTGAAGCTGGTGCAGCTGTTGCTGCTGCTGTTCCTGTTGCTGTCTTTCAATCGCCTTCAGCTGCTGCAACTGCTGTTCCTGTTGCTGCCTCAACTGTTCCTGGCGACTAGACGCGGCTTTCAGAGGACCGGATCTAGCTTCGACCACTTCCACGTCGGAGTCGGGACCGCTGGACGGAATCGCTGGTGCTGGTGCAGGCGCACCTGGTAAAATTGGAGCAGCTGCAGCAGCTGGTGCGAGGGCAGGTGCATAAGCGGCTACAGGAGCAGCTATGGCAGCGACGGCAGTCGCTGGTTCGCGACTAACCACCGCGTTAAAGCCGTTTATCGGATCGGCAGTGTACTCAACGATGCGGCGAGTACCGTCGGCTTCGATCAAGCTGTAGCTTCCTTGTACTATATCTCCGTTTCTGGTCTCGTATTGGGCCTTAGAATCGCCGGTTATCGCGTCTTGTACGTCATAAGCAAAACTGTATTGGGGCACTGCGTCCAGTTCTTCCAGTCTTGCTGGTACCACCGGTGCTGCGGCAACCACCGGTGCTGGTACCACCGCGCCCTTCGAGAGGACCGCCAGGCTTAAGAGAAGAACGAGCTGGAATGTAGGAGAAAATTCATTAGAAAATCAATTTCGATGTATTCCGTAATTCTTCGTTCTCTAAGTCTTCTGCAGGTATAAAATGTTTTGCATGAAGTAGGTTCTGTCCCTTATCTAATGTTTAAAAGATATTATCAATGACGAGCGAAAGATCTATTAGCTATTAGTGTCGATGAAGAAGCTAGTTAAAGCTAGATCGTTGTAGGCTCTTACCTTTCCAACCATGTTTGTTTACGAGAGGATCGCCAGGAGACTGATGCCTCAGGGTAAGAATCGTCGTACTTTTATACGCGTGATGACCGTGAGCGTTTTCGTGTCATCCTTCCAACAATAACCGAGCTATTCCTTGCACCCAAACTTCGTGCCACCCGTCTTCCACGCCGCCCCCACTGGACCTCTCCTTCTTTCGTACGGTACCCATCTGCTCCTCTCTTTCTTCTACAACCCAACGACCTCCTCGGCTGTTGCATACAACGACCGATGAGTATGCGCGGTTATATCGTTTCTTCATATCCTCGCGGCCGCGTAAACGCGACCTGTATGCCAATACGTCGAAGATACCGGGCAGCTCGAGGTCGTACGACGAAACTGAACCCCGCGGTTGACCTCCTCCTCCTACCAAAAGTTTACGATGTTGCGCGATCGTTATCGATTAGCATTTACCTCGCACCGCGACACCTTAAATTAGGATGTTACTTAAGGGGGAAAGCCACGGTGATTGCAATCAAACAAGTCTATTTTTATCAAATTTTTCTTGGATGTAATTCGTAAAATATTTTTGCTACCATCTCACAGCATATATGTTAATGTAATTCTCCTGGAAATTTCATTAGAAAATACGAACTTCTGCCCTTGTAGTATCTATGATAATGTGGAACACTAATTTCAGTGTATCAAGCTTTGTAATGTGTACCCCTTGGAAAAATCTCGGAAAAATCGAAAATTTTTTTTTGTTGTTTATTATTAGCAATGTTCTTCCGACGTCTGATTTCTTTTTAAAAAATGCGTTTCTAAAGTGCATAATCTTTTGGGATTGACTGTGTAGCCAATACATCCTTAAGATCAAAGGTAAGAGGTCTGATAAAAATGACTCAATGCCTGACAACTGTAAACGATGAAGGCGAGAGAAACGGTCACGCCGAATGATGTGGAGCGGCGATTAAAATTTCTCATCGCACAAACTCGCGTCCAAACAGAGTAACTTGCACCCGAGAGTCCGGTGTCGAGAACTAGTGTCACAGCTGGGAAAACGGGAACACGTCAGAATCTGTCGCCGCGGCAAAAACTAGTCACCTGGCATCGCAAGCCCCTCGCGTATCGCCGAGTCAACTGATAAGCAATAATTGATTCCGAATCGTCGACGCGCGGTCTTGGCATGAGACTTTTTACACGAAACGGCTCGTTGGCTAACGACCGACCAACTGACCGTCGCATCTCGTTAACGTAACTATGTCATTCGTCGTGTTCCGAGCGAACTCCGTAACTTCGACGGACTAATTCTACGCACCGTAAGAGAACAGCGTTTTGCGGACTGTTACTCTAGACTCGAAATAACTACCTAACTTAAGAAATTAACTTATTACGATCCACGAACCAGAACATTGTTTATCAGAAGACTTCCTGAATTGCACCGAGTGTATAAAGTTTTATGCGCAAAACCACGGGAGACGAGACTAGTTCCGTGGTTTTGTTCGCCTTACTCAGTCGCGAAACGGTTTTTCGGATAACTCGATTATTTACACAAATACTACTCGGAACTGAATTAATAATGAAACGAGGAATAACGGTATCGTTTACTGAAGGTCGGCCGACCCGAGGATTTCCAGGCATCGATCCGATCGCCTTTTGTCGCGCCGTAATTGCGACCTTATTTAGATTTATCATCGCGCAATAAACGTTCGCGATGTACTCCCACGAGTCAAACCGCATCCTGTGCCAACTTCCCAATGAAACCGTAACAAACCTATAGATATATGAAGTAAGCTGCCTGCATAGATTGGAAAGTGTTTCGCTTTGACGGACAATAAAAAGCAACCTACGAGAGGTATCGCTTGAAAGTTGATCGTGCCTCCTGGCACGTTTGCACCATAAAAGGCTGACGTCAAATTCATCGGCGAGGAACACTTAAACTCGCTGTGCGCGATTACACGATTTCACGCTACTCGCAACAATCGTTGATATCAAATTGCAACGAGGAACGTTTGGCTCAAACATGTTTTTTCTCAAACGCGCCGTTCGACTGGTTCCTTTCATAATAAAATTTGATCTACGCAACTCTAGGCGACGAGAGAGATCAAGTTTTCAGAATACTTTCGTCGTTTCTCGGCTTCGAGCCACGAATTCCGATGCTTGTCTCGGATACTCGATACTCCGTTCCGCGGCTCACGAACCTTTGGAAAACAGATGCATTTTTCCTTCCATCTCGCACCTCTTTCATGTTTGGTTCGCTCGACCGATTATAGTCCGATTCAATTTCTCTGGCTCAACTTGCGTTGTGGATACACGAATGATCGTAAGAAACGTTGCAAAGATTCGAACTAACAGTGGATATAAAGTGAATGACACTAGATACTAGAGATCGCCTATATAAGACCCCCACGCAATTACCAATAATAGCCGAATGATAATTATGTAGGGTTGGTAGATGTTTCGCTAAAAATAGAAGACCTCATTGGGTGCTGGAATTGTCGATGAATTTATCGTTCGACTATTCTAAATACAAATTTACTTAAAAGGTATCATTCATTAGCAATGATTTTACGGACGAATGCAATAAAATTGTTAAGACATCTCTGTAACTTGACGTCACGTATATAACGGGATATAATTACACACGACGGTGTTTCGACAATAAATCGCTATCGTTTTGCAAACATTATCGCACAATATCTATACCGTTTAACGAGTATCTAGCTACGCCGAGATCGATAAACAAGGCGTCAATCTTCTGACTCATCCCCCAATAATCGCGTCATTTCACGACTAGGACGTTCAGTGACGTAGCCGTGGATCTAAATCCGCTGGCAGCCGGAAAATTCGCTGACATCTGACGCGTACAGACAGAGGGGCCAGCGTTAACCCCTATTTACATCGTGCCGCGTTAAACGCGCCGCTTTCTATCACGCACAGTCAGCTTACCCCGATAATAGGGTAACATAGTTTTAATCGTTGCCGCATTGCACATTTTCGGCAGGTATTCATATTTCGTGAGACCGTACGATGTACTCGTACTTTCTACGTATTTGAATGTAAAAACGTCAGCGAAGAAATGCAAAAGCTTACCGTGGCTTCTTCATGGTTTGTCGATCGGCCTAACTCATCGGCGTGTCACGTGCTTCGTGTGTACGTCATTGGGAGTCGTCTCGTGGTGTTCACGGATCGCGTCCAGAGGGCACAAACGAACCCCGCAGGTGAAATTGTATGAAACGTCACCGAAGCGAACAGAAAAATGTTTCCTAAACCGTTTCTTTCCGCGCGAGTCACTTACTATCCCTGTCTCGTACTCTCGTCTCCACGTTCCGGGCTACTCGCACCATTTGTCTCTCTCGCTCTCCACGTCACATTATTCCCCGTTCTCGGTGTCTCTCTCTTTTCCGTGGATACGAAGGGACGTGCTGTACGGTAGGGAACGCGAGAAGGAAAACTCTGGCAACGTCGCGCTGGTTCACTCGCTCGCTCTCTCGCCTCTTCTCTCTGTTACGTCGTCGTTGGTCGTGCTCGTCGATGTACACCCTGTGCGCCTCTCTACTCTTTTTCTCATTCTTCCGCGCTCATTCACCGTCCGGCTATCTCCTTCCAATTTCCTCTAACACCGAAAGATCGCACGTACACACGACGATCGGTAACGTTGCGGCGCGTGTACGCCAGTGTACGGGACGTAGTGCACACCGACGACGCGCACGTTTTTCGTTGTGTACTACAGTCGCGCGTACCGCGCTCTCTCAACTATTGAAAAGATTCGAATCGCTACCCTATTTCTGTTCCGTTCTTTTCCTCGACTTCTGCCCGAGTCGCAGCGATACCGAACGATACCGCGGCGATCCGAGATCACCGAGTTCACGGAATTTCCTGGTTTCACCAACGACACACTCGTGTCAGGAACCTCCAGAAGTACCTACCGAACCGATGTATCACACACTACGTCGCTCCATCCTCGTCCAACTCGTGGCCCGTGCGTGCAGTTCGTCTCGCTTCACCGAGACAGAACACAGTTGTCCCTCTTTCTCTCTCGGTCTCTCTCTGTCCCACCGCTCCCGTAATGTTTTGTTTTTCGAACAACACGAGCACTGTTTTCGATACGCTTTCGTCGACTCGATGCACAGTACTCAGCGAGGGCACAATCGCGACTTTTACACGCGCGACGGACCGCGCACCCGTAAATATTCCGACATGCTACGATGTCACCTTCGGAGGTACTCTCACTTGCTAGCGATGGCGGAAGCCATATTGCGATCGCTGTTCGCGACACCGCCGGAGCGCCAATCGGTAGATGGTCTGGAAGGGGGAATGCGCGTACGACGATTGGTCGAGTTCACCTGTTCCCCAGGCGCCATCTCGCGATCACGTTGCAATGGCGAGAATTCTCTTCCCTTACTTATCGACGAAATTCGAAATTACACAAAACTGTCGCCGCACGCTTTTCAAACCCAATTTGCCTCACACGAGAAGATAAAAGACATACTAAACTATTGCATATAAACATGCGTTAATAGAGCATATAAAACTGCAGTTAGACTGGCAAAAAGTACCGATGTTATTTGCCCGCAGAAATAAATTAAACCTGACATACTGTCTTAGAAATGACTATAATGATACTGTCAAAATTTTTTATATAACAAGCTCGTCAAACTAGTAGCATAAACTTTGTGCGTTGGAAAAGGAATTTGAAACAGTAGAATTGTTTCAATAAAAGTTCGGAATATATCTTTAACAATATCTCAACTTCATAAATATTGTTGTACTGAGCCAAAGAAATAATTGTAATTGTTTCCACGGTTTAATCAAACGAAAATGAAATAGATATCGCTTTGACATCTTACGAAACAGAGAAACAGTGGATCTGAACTGTACAACCATTCATTAATCCTCACAAAGAAGATCTAAACGAAATTGGGAGCAGTTTAGATTAAGCGAGTACGAATTAAATGCACTCGTCCTCGTTCTACGTTCCCGTTTGTTTCAAACGCATCTTAACTCGACGTACTACGTCCGAACGAGTGTACGATTTAAATTCCCATACTTGTTTAATTTTACTTTTGCCATTTGCCTTTTGCCAAGAATTAGGCCAAAGCCGTGGCAGAAAATTAAATGTAACTGTGCGCAACGATAAATATTAATCGTGTAGATTTCGGGCCGTTACTCAATTATGCAAATATTCTGATACGCGGCTGTTTGAACATATCGATCGGTAACATATTGGTTAATGCGTTTTATTCATCGCTCAAAATGATTTACTACAAAATGTAGCAATTAAAATCAATATTCGATAACGTTCGAAATGAAAAGCATTATTTATTAAACATCTCTCAATATATTCATCAACTGCTGGAGTTTGCAGCTTATATTACTTAAATAAACGAATTATGTATAAAGCGCAGAGAAGTTGCGTTCATTATCGATGGTAATAATCGTTGAAAATAAAATTGCAAACGCGTGACCAATAAAATGACCAGTTAATTTGTGTAGCACAGGTACTGTACGTTTGTCTCATAACATCGAAAACTCCAGTATACAGGAAACGTTTTGCAACCGCACAGAAGCAGGAAAAACAGGAAACACCAGCATTGCGGTCTAGTCCCGCCTTATGGCGGCAAGTGGGTATGTGATACACATCGCTTCAACTGGAATGTCAAAAATTGCCTTTCATAGCAAACATAGATACTTCCGCGTGAACTATATGTGAGAAACTTCGTTGTCGGGAAATTAATAAAAAAGTCATACACCTCCATTCATACTGTATCGTTTCATAAATCAATAATCCCTGTTCTTATCTCGCTTATCATCGTGTATTCGTTTACACGCTTCTATTTATACTACGCGGGGAATCATCGGTGAAATCTAAGAAGAACAACCTTCGAAGCTGCTTAGGAAGATTTCACGCAGCGATACAGCACGACCTTCCCCTCCCGTCGAGGGAACAAAAAAAGGGACGAACAGAATGGATTATGCAAATGAAATTGGCGAGCATCAACAATGCGGCGCGTCTTCGTGCCGCGGCAAATTACTCATTTACAGGCCGATAAAATCGATTTGTGTAATCGAAATATCTGGTACATCGCGCGTAACAAGGTGTCTCATAATTTAAAAGACGCTTGATCAGTTTGGGATTAAAAGTTAGTTTTAAGCATGGGGTGCGACCGAGTTGTCAGGGGAACGCTGCCAGGCGCCAAGACTCCGACCGGTTCGAGCGCGAGAGCTTTAAACGAGATCCGCGTCAACTCGTGGGCAAAACGAACGCGTATACTTCGAATCGATTAAAAGGAATTTACGATCTCGGGTGGCGGAAAACAAGACGTCGAGCTTTCCCCATTTCACCGGCTTAGCACGACAGCCGAGATACACATGCGCGAATGGCTGTGCAACAAGTCTACGCCACTTGGACCGGTCTTACGTGCTCCTCGGCGGAGCTCTTGCGCGTGAAACCAAAGATCGTGGGCCAGTCATTGAATCCGGAATTACATTCATTACGTTAACCCGAGGTGAACGATGGAATCGAAGGAGTAACCATGGGTTACGCGAGTAGAAGAAAAGCAGGCGCAACAAGTCCGCGTCGCTTGGCTCGGTCCTGAAAGTCTGAGGAAGGAAGAAGCTCGAAGGTTTGAAAGACCGTCTCGTGGACCAATTTCATTCGAGGAAAAGGCAGAAATAGCTGGGTTGCGACGATTCTAATTGAAGCCTGAATTACGTTGACCTGGCGTCTTTTAAATTGTTTGACGCTGGTCGGGTTATTCCGGTAGCAGGACCAAGCGGATGCCTGATAGCGAACGCACGCAGAAAAGGACGTGCAACAAGTCCTCTAATCAATGGCCTCTCTTCGGACGTTCCTCCTCTTTCGACGTTGCCTACGTCACCGGTGACGTACGACTTCCGCCACGTCACGCGTACGCACCGCCCATCGTCGTCGTGTGCCCATCTGACTTCTTTCATTGACCACGTTGCTACGACGCGTCGTAGACTAAAAACGAGATTCCGCTTTTCACCACCCTCGAAGAGAGATGCCTAGACGTTGCTTCCTCGAGATTGTTTCGTGCCCGAGTGACATTCTCCACCGGCTGCTAGACTATTAGTTCTATTATTTGCTCCACTTCGACTTGTCTGCCAGTTCGATTCGGAGCAACGTACGTTTTGAAAAAGCGATCAGTCATCTTTTTACCTGGAGGTAAACAAGAAGAGCTTGTTCACCGCTCGGACCATCGATCCGTTGTTGCTCAGCACACACGTTTTTTTAAAGGGCTCGAGAAAAAGAGACGAACCCGATGTAATTCGATCTGATTCAGTAAAGCTACTAGAATCGTTTTAAAACGCTGTCGGCACCCGGTCTGACTTTTATTCCTCATAGTTTATTGATACGAAGGAAAATCAGTGTTAACGAAACCCCTGTAATGTTTCATCACGCGATACCGATAACCTTTGATCGAATTACCTTGACTCTCGGGTAGAGAGTGCAAACATTTGGGTCGGGTAACGATTATCTCTTATCTACAGTAGAAACGCGTAGTAACACGATTGATCAGTCCTCTGACAAGAGCAATCGGATAGGACAAACGATACAATGTTACAAACAGGATTACGAGCCGCTCGTGCTACCGTGTTGAAAAAGAAACAAAGCGAAGACGATGTTAACTAACAGAAATCTGTACGTCTCTGAACTTCTACAAACGATTAGTGCCGCGGGTAGGGAAACACGAAGGGAAAGAACAACGAGACCCAGAGCGAAACAGAAGCAGAAAGAAGGAGAGAAAGGGGATATGGAGGAGGGAGGGATAGAGCGAGTCCCTCTCTATTGATTTCCTGCCGAGGGTGGGCCACGGAAGGGAGGATTAGGTATCGGCTCTGGCTCTCCGTCTTTGTCTTCCGTTTTGGTCTCTTTCCTCTTTTTCCTTCTTTCGAGGGTCCTGCAGTAACCCGTCGAGCACCTGTCCGAGACGGACAAAGAGAAGAGAGGATAAAGAAAGGAGACGACTACGTCGTATCCCCCTCGGCTACGACTTCTAGTTTCCCTCTGTTCATCTTTCACCCTTATTCTATCTCCCTCTGCCCGTCTAACGTGTCGTCGATCCTCTTCCCTTTCCGCGCGTATACCGTCTGGTTTGGCGAACAGATTCATCGTTGTAAGCGTTGTAAGCAGGATATTTGTTTAAACAATACATATACCTATAAGTACATTCCTGGTGAATGGGTATTGCAATGTGAACTAACTTGCCGGTATATCAGTTCCCAATGTACCGACGTCAAATGAATACAGTCAATTTGATACAAATCGTTGGAGAGCTGATATTAAAATGATTTCTGCGCAAATCTCTCGCGTATTTCGCGTAGACCACCACCGTACCGTTCGTTCGTGTCAGTGCGAAACGATGTCCCATCTGTGGTTCTCATACAGCGTAGTCACCGTCCCAGTGTATACATGTATATACATATGTACATAATGGTGAGAGTGCCACAAACACTGACTGTGATAGGTATGTTGGGACAGCGACACCGAGCACACACGGTGAGGCAAGGGTAGTACCGGTGCAAGCACGTATCCCGGCATCGAATATTCGATACTCAATGGTCGTAGTAGTAGTAACAGAAATAGTGGTGTAGTAGTAGAGCAGAATAGTGGAAGTAAGTACGTAGTGAACGGCGCGACGACGGCGGCGGGGGCAATGGTGCCGGTAAACTTGCGTACAAGCGGCGTGACGTCAAAACCCGAAGCAGCAACGTAACCCACCGTCGCCCCGCGGCCCTATCGCCTGCCGTAACCACCGAACCACCCTCCCACGATACTATCGACATTACTCCACTATGCGTAACAGATAAATTAATGGAGCGAGCCCGTCAAAGGGGCGGACGCGTGGCGCCTGCTAAACCGTGATTTCTCCGGGCTTTAGAGGATCATACTATCTGCTGGATATTTGCACTGTTAAAATGTAACTAACTGGTCGGTCGAGATTATCTAGATCGCTTCAGATCGTCTCGGTCGATGCATTACATCACGGATATTAATTATTACGAATTCTCGGATCCAACGTGAACGATCTCGCGACAGGAGATTATCAGAATCGTATCTCGCAACGAATGATCGGTCGCGATGAATTTTATAGACGAGCGACCGGCTTTGGAACCATAATTCACTGTCTGCTACTTTCCGTTCTATCACCTAACGCCTTCCGCCAACCCAGATATCGCCCGATATTAATGGACCGACTCGTAGCAAACCAGTTGACGCCACAGCCACGAGTTACAAGGTATCAGA